AGCAGTTCCTCTAATTGGGCATGGGAGAGAAAGAGAAAAGATCAATACTGTGAGGAAAGAGGATTACATATCTTCTTACCAAGCTGATTAAAATGCATCATAAAAATTGAAAGCATTAAGACAACATGACATGGGTCCATCCAATTTCATAGCTTTCTCTTCCTTGAGCCCCAGAAACAGGAGCAAAATAGTTGTTGCTGTTAAGTGTCATCAACTCTGTTCTGACTCATAGAGTCCCTGCATTTCTGAGGAGCAGTTGGTGAGTTTGAACTGCTGACTTATTGATTAGCAGTCCAGAGTTTATCCTACAGCATAGAATTGTTGTTAAGTGCTATCAAGTTGGTTCCAACTCATAGCCACCCTGTATAGGGTCTCCAAGGAGTGCTGATGGGTTTGAAATTTGGACCTTGAAGTTAGTAGTTCAGTACTTATCCTACAGTGCCACACCAGGACTCCACAGCAGAAGACAGAGTAACACAAAACTGCCAGGGAGAAGAGGCAAGCACTTCTTCAAACCACCCAACCAGCCCAAGTTACCAATCCACAAGTCGGCACCAAATGATTTCACATTAACAACACAGCACCCTACCTTCAGGGCAGGTGATTAAATGCTCCCAGACAGCGTAGTGGTTATGAATCGGGCTGCTAACCTCAGGGGAAGCAGTTCGAAACTACCAGCTGTTCCGTGGGAGAAAGATGAGATTTTCTGCTACCATAAAGCAGCCTCGGAAACCCTGTGTAGGGTTGCTATGAATCGGAACCGACTCCACGGCACATAGCAACAACAACAACAACAGACTTAGTCTTCTGTCAACTCTAAAACTGGAGAAGGCTGGGATGGTATAAACCCTCTCTACCACATGTCCTACTAGGTAACCTAAGCAACAGCCAGAGGCCCTACCTATCTGCTTTCTCAATAGCCCCAGAACTGCATCAAAAGAGGGAAAAAGTAGTCCCAGAGGTGAGTGTGGCAGTCATTTTCCCTGCTCCCAAAGTTGTTCCACACAGTCCAGGGTTCCACTCAAGTGCCACTGAGGCCTAAAAAGTCCTGAGAATACTTCCTCTGTAGCTACTAATAGTGAGTTGGGGCCTGCAATCAATATTACCTTGCTCCTTGCTTATTTTTCCCTTCAAGGTTCCCCTATCATCCCAGGAAACCATGCTGGCCTTACACTTTTGACAAAATCGCCTGTCCTATTTGCTGGGTAACTTGGGTTGACTGATGCCCAAATTTCTCACAAACCCTGAAAAAAGCAAAGTCTTGGTTTTCTCGGTTTTTTTTTTTTTCTTTTACGCAAACTAAACCCCAGGGAACCCTAGTGGTACAATGGTTAAGCACTAGTCTGCTAATCAAAAAGTCATTGGTTCAAATCCACCAGATGCTCCATAGGAGAAGGATATAAAAAGTAAAGTTTTATAAACCATATGGGACAGTTCTACTCTGTCCTATAGGGTCACTATGATTTAGAAACAACTCGAAACTAATCTGTTTTGGGGGAGGGGGAGAGTTCAAACCAAACTCCAGATACTTAGCTCTATTTCAGGAACCTTTTGGCTACCAGTTTTCCCATACCTAAGACCCAGGGAAAGTAGATTTTCATCCCAAAACAGGTGAAAAGAGAGAAAAAATATATATTTCTGGTGATACCAAAGGATTCTACACATCAGAGTCCACAAAGACTACATGCTCTAGTATACCCTGAATTCCACTCTTACTCTGCCTGCATGACTTTTTTTTCCAGGTCCAAGGCTCCTTTGATGTGGAGTTAGCTTCTGATATGGTTTGAATTGTGATTCCCAAATATTGTTGTTGTTGTTGCTGTTAGGTGCCGTCAAATTGGTTCCGACTCATAGCGACCTTATATAGGGTTTCCAAGGAGTAGCTTAATCACTAAACTTTAAGTTAGCAGTCCAGTGTTTATTCTACAATGCCACACCAGTCCCCTAAACATATGTGATATAAATCCAAATCTCTATGTCAGTGGTTATCATCTCATTTAGGAATGGGTTTTCTTTGCTACGTTAATGAGGCAAGACTAGTGTAGGGTAGCTGTGTTTTAAAGAGTACATTAGAACAAGCAAGCAAGCAGAAAAGGGGGAAGAGAAATGCAATGCCATAGGAAAATCACCTAGGAGCAGATGCTTAGAATATACAAGGACCTTCTTTCAGAATCAATATAGAGAGAACACCTTCCCCTAAAGCCTGTACCCTGAATTTGTACTTCTAGCCTCCTAAACTGTGAGAAAATGTGTTTGTTTGTTAAACTCGCCCATTTGTGGTATTTCTGCTATAACAGCACTAGATAATTAAGACAGCCTCCAAACATCAAAATTATCTGCACAATCTCACAACTTGGCAACATTCCCAATCATATGCATAACTTTCAACCTATTAAATCAATCAGCACAGTTTTTGGATTCTGAAAATATAAAGCCTTGCCAAAGAGAATTTTGGTTATGAGGTACCTCCAAACATTAAATTCATAGATTGTTAGAGAGGGAGATAGTATCAGAATAGAAATGGGCAATGTACCACATTAATAGAAATGGGCAATATTTAAATCTCCTGAGTGTGTGGGTGTATATTGTGTGTCCTTCAGAATGGTTATTAGACAAATATTAGTCAAAAAAGATAACACATTTTTGCTATTTTTTTCTGTCCCTTTGAGACAGATCTGTGGCTTGGAAATTTTTAGTACACTGTAAGAAAGTATCTGCAGGCAGAGACACATTTGGACTCGGGACCTGAATAGTTTTTTAAAAAATCTGAAGGGTTCAAGAAAAGTACTGTTGAGGATGAGATTTTCTAGGAGCTCAGGAATTGGGTGGGGTGTTCCTAACTTTTCCAAAATAAAAATTGAGGTGTTTGAGAGCCTCTAGGATCAAAAATAACTTTAGTGAGTTCAAGACACACTACAGCAGGGAATAAAGCCAAAGTATTCTGAGATTCTGGGGACATACCAAATTATTTTCTGTTTCTTCCTGATTTACACTCACCAAAATTTAAAGCAGTAACCCCTTCCTGCTAATGGACCTATTCTACGTGGGAGTGCATATCAACCACATCTTCGCATAGGCACCCCCACCAGCTGCACTGTAAGGTCTTGACCGGAAAGTCCCCACCAGCCCTCCCCCTGAGTCCCCTTATGATCACCTACTTTGAAGTTTGTTACCCAGCAGTGAACCTCTTCCTGGTAAAATAGTGGTTTTTCCAAGTTTTATTACATACTCTTAAGGTCACAGCTCTAGACTTGCTCATACCACACAAATGCCCATACCCCACTGCTTCCCATTAAATTTCACCCAGACTTGGTCTGGATCCTTAAGGCCAACAGCTTTTCTTCAACCACCAGACAATACTCAACCAACGTCCTATGAGGTAACCTAGACAACAGCTTTCTACTTTCTACCTATCTGCTTTCTCAAGAGCCCCAGACCTGCTTCAAAGCAGGGAAAAGGTAGTGAGTGTAGCAGCAATTTTCCCTTTTCTGCCAAGTTGTTCAGCACAGCCCAGGGCCCCACTCAGGCTTCAGTGAATCCTAGAAAGTTCTGAGAATCTCCCCAGGATAGTCACTAAGGCACAATCGAGCATTTATTTGCATGCCATTCCCCCACACACTCTGAACCTTTGCAAACAGACCACAGAGTCAGAAGCACCAAGAGCTCCAAAACGCTTTCTGTAAGTACAGCACAGAGAAGCAGCAAACTGACAAAAAACTGAAAGAGGTGGGAGGAGCCAAGACACTCTGCAACTCAGAACTCAAGGTTTCTATGCTCACTTAATAATCCCCAGCCCCCTTCAGATGACAGTAGAAGTACTGTCCGTCAATCTTAGGGCAACACTGCAAAAAAACTACATATCATGTGCTGCAAAATTGAGGCAGTTGGTTGGAGTAATCCTGGGGAGCAACAGAGGGAGAGAGCTTTGCAGGAGTGGGCATCCCAAACCTGTTTCCAGTCTGAGATCCCTCAACCAAACTATTAGGGGTCTTTGCCAGAGACTTGCTGGGGTCTTGAGGGTAGGATGACTTGCCTGACTTTCCAAGTCCACAGGTGGGTTAGATATGAAGAGGGTACTCGCCTGAAGTCCTCGAGCCAACAGGCCTGCTATCCTGCTCTGCTTCCTTAGAGAACGAGACCAAATCAACCTCTAGTGAAAGCGAGAGTGGTGGGGTCAGCATTCCATCTTATGGCCAATCGAGGCATCCCTCAGATAACACAGAAGAATGGGGCACCAGTGAGGGCATGGCTGAAGTCTGGGGCCAAGTGGAATGAGCCAGAGAGCACAGCCTACCGGTCGCTTCTCGCCTCACTGACAGGAGACAACGGAGACTGCCGTCTTGCCTGCCCTAGAGTTCAGCTCAGAGGGCACAGAATTCCGTTCGATACGGTAAGGCAATGGTCGACCGCCAGGCGGGCAAAGAAACTGGCGCACACCCCCACTCAAACTCCCTTCCTTCCTTTCTCTCCTGCAGAAACACACGCTTGCCATGTGTTTGATTCTTTGCTCACAGTCATCAGGATTTCTTAAGTGTTTTTGACAGAAAACACCTCCGCTCCTTCACAGGAACCAGGGCTGCTATGGAGAATGCCTGTACAGTATCTCTCTAGAAGCCCACTGAGTCTTTCAACTCCCTCTCTCTTCATTGACACCACTTCCGCAGCAAAACAAACAAAAGATTTTAAACAAAAAACAACAAGGAAATATTGCCCTCCTTAGCTCCTCAGCACACACGAGCAACAAACAAACCCCAAAGGTGCATATGGATTTGTCTCTGGGCAAAAAAAGTTCATTCCTTGCCTGTGACCAATGAATGGCCCAGTTGCCACCTCCGGGACGTCTTGTGCCCCAGCTATGGCCCCGCAATCTGCGCCCTAGTAAGGCCATGAGCAAGAAGAGGGGTCAGAGAGGCGCGGTGTAAGGGTGTCTAGGATCAAGAGACAGCGGGAGCGGACACCAGTGCCCAAAATGCCAGTTGGGGGTGTGCGGGGCCACTTACCTGCTTGGAATTCCACTTGGTGATTTTTTTCTTTTTCCTCTTGAAGCAGCATGGAGTAGAGGATCCCGAACGAGTTCTGAATGCCGAAGATGGAGCCGTTGCACCAGGTGGCAGCGAAGACCACCATCCAACCGAAGCCACCTTCGGGGGGCTGGAAGCCGCGCGCAGAGCCGCGAGTATCCACCGTGGGCGTGGACTCACGTTCGTGCTCAGGCTCAGGCTCTAACTCCAGCTCTGGCAAGGGTGCGGGGTCCGGTAGAGGCTGGGGCTCGGGTTGGGGCTCAGGCGGGGGCACTGGCATAGGCTCAGGTTCGGGTTCTGGTTCCGGGAGACCCACCGGCTCCTGCAATTCTTGCTCTGTCTCCTGCCAGGGCCCCTTGGCTTCCTCCCTGGCGGGGTTTTGCAGCGCCATCGCGGCTAGGGGACTGAGGCAGCTCAGGCGGGAGAAGCCGCTCTGTGGCTGGTACTTGTTTCTTTTGCTGCTGCTGTTGCCGCTGCCTCTGCCTCTGCTGCCGCCGCCCCCGCTACTGCCACCTCCTCCCAGCTTAGAGCCCCAGCTGGCCAGCCTGTCCCGCGACAGACGGTCCCTAGAGCCTTCTCCTCCTCCTCCCACGTCCAACCCCCTCCTCCTCTCCCCATGTCATCTCTCTCTCTCCTCCCCCTCCTGCTCCTCTCCCCCCTCCCCACCTCTTCCTCCCTCAACAGGCAGCCGCTATAGCCTTGCTGTTCTTGCCAGCCCTTCCTCCTCTTGCTATTTGCTTACCTACTCCTGCCTCAACTACCTCCCCAACTCTTTCCAAACTACTGAATCCTATTGTTTTTACCTAGATACTCAGTAGAGTGTTAAATGAGAGAGAGAGAGAAAAAAAAAAAAAAAAAAGACAGCACAAACTATTTTGTTCTACTGTCCGCTCTTCCTCACAGGCTTCAGGACCTGCATTGATCAACCCCGAGTTCCCAGAAAGGACTCAGTCTGCCCTTTGCTTGTACTTCCTCTTTCCTTACCAGCAGCTTGCAAGTGGAATGGGACCCCCAGCAGGAAAGCTGATCTGCGAGGGACCCCACCCTACTCTCGAGAATCCCTCGTATGTTCCCCCCTTGGGCTTGGGGGAGATCTCGAAGGGAGAACCCGGGTCACTTTCTGACAGAAAGTGGTTACAATCTTCTAAAGCCTGGTCCCCCACAGTTCCGCGCACACCCGAGCCCCCTTTTTACCCCTCCCTCTCCCTTCCCAGAAAATCCTTGGCAGGCCGGGGAGTGGAGGAGGCGGCCCCACAGCCAGGCCCGCCCCTCCGGGTAGTCAATCAGGGCTTTGTTTGCGCCAACCTGGAGCCCAGAGGAGCTGCAGAGGGCCGGGTCGGGACATCGGGCAGGGCCAGGAAGGGAGGGAGGTACAGTGGCACCGGAGGGGGCACGGCCCGGGCGGGGGCGGGAGCCAGTGCTCAACGTAGGCTCCTCCTCCTCCCAGTCCTGGACTGAAGAGCAGGGAGTTGGGTGGGGTCCAGCCGGCTGTTGGGCAATGGCTGCGCCTCCCCCGACATCTCGGCCTTGCTGGTCCCTCCTGCCTCGACTGCCGCTTTTCGGGCACTTGGGACTCTGCTGAGTCGCAAGCGAAGGGTTGTCTTCCAGCACCCACTGCTTTAGTCTTGGGCATCTAGACATGAGATTCCAGCTAATTGTCCCAGACTCCGGCCCCCCAGCCCTGCAAGGCTAAAGGGAAGTTAGCTCCCTAGGGAGAGGGAGAAAGGAGGTGGGAGGGGCCATTTGCCCAGAGACAACTGAGCTCCTAGTAGACTTGGGTGGCTGTGCCCTACCTTATAGCCCGTGGAGACAGCCTGCCTTACCCTGGGAAGCTCTGTCTCCCTTAAGATCCAAAGCGTCTACTTTACTATAATATTGGAGACATGGTGTGTTACCAAACACTGGGCTCCTCACGAATTTCTGGTGGACAGGCACCTATTTCTGCCCAGCATCTCATTAGCCCTCCTGCTAAATAACAAGACTACGAGGTTGAAGAAAGTGTAAGAGAAGGCTAGATGTGTGGCTTTACCTTAAGCCAGTGAACACACATTCATTATGAACCACAGGGAGAGCTGAGCTGGGTGGGAGGATAGAGGTGTCCTGGTGAGGAGCTTGCAGTGCTGTAGGAGACTTCAGACAAATTCACAAATCACAAGGGTCATGCCAGTCAACAGAGTAGATGTTGCCTGAGCAAGTAGAGTATGGGCTTTATTTCCAGGAGGTAAGTGTATCATCCATTTTTTACAGTCACAAACACTAAGGCTTAACCAGGTCAAGGCACTTATTTGCCCTAAGGTCAGAAGGCAAGCCCTGTAGCACTGTAAACTGAGCACTGGACTGTTAATCCAAAGTCGCTATGAGCCAGAACCAACTCCACAGCACTTAACAGCAACATGGGTTAAGTCAGGAACAAGCTGTAATTCAAAGCAAATACAACAAAGCCTTATGCTCTCCTGAGTCCCACCACAGGAATCTAGGGTTCACAGGGAGGAAGGCGAATATAACTGAGCTATCACAACAGAGATGTTCTAAGGAGATGGTGGCCAAAATAGGCCTTGAATACTTAGTAGGATTTTATCAGGGTAGGGGTGGGAGGTTGACTGCCCAGAGATTGCCCCCAACTCAAAGCACAGAGGCATAAAAAAAGGACTGTGCTCATAGAAAGAGGGACGTGAAATCTAATCAGGCCAGGTTAATATGTATGCTTCCTCTCCCAGGGAACATTTGCATTTTAATAAGAATCCACAATACTTCAGCAACTAGGAGTTACTATGGACATTAGAGGCACAAGAGCTTAATATTAAGATTTGCTTGTTCTGTCAAGGGTCTAACCATCAACAATGACCAAATATTGTGCCTGGGGAACACTGGTTCTGTTTTCCATTTGCAGAGAATTTGATTGAGATCCTGTGAAAAGTTAATTGCAAACCCAGAACTAGTAAAGACCCTGGAGTCTTGTTCCCCATTTCAGATGTCTACTTTCCAAATTCTCCTATCATTGTTTAAATGGGTTTTTAGTACATTGGAGTGGGGGGTGCAGGTGGATGATGACACTCAGTGAGACTCTTCTTTGAACCTAGGCCTTTTACACATATGACCTCATATAATCTTCATAGCAACCCTATAAATTGGGATGATTTGTCCCCATTCTAGAAATGAGGGAACAGGCCTCAACAGATTAATTCAGTTGCTTGAATCTACAAAACCAATAAGGTAGAACTGGGATTTTTGTTCATTTGTGTGTATATCAAATTATGTGCTCCACCCAGGAGACAGGATTATGCAACCTATCTGTCCAAGTATTCTAACAACACATGCAATGTCTACCATTTAAAAATATTTTGTCATATTTAGCTTACTGGTATCAGGAGACATGGGTTCTAATCGCCATTCTACCATTGTGTACTTGTGTGATACTATGCAAGTTGTTTTTTCTCTCTGAACCTCAGTTTCTTTATATGCAAATAGGATTAATAACTACTTTATAAAGTAATTAAATTCTGTGAGAAGTATATTTATGATATACACAGGAACCACTGAAGATTTTTTAGTAGGAGAATAACATCAGTCCTGCACTTCAGGAAGAAAATTGTGATTACAAGATATAGGATGGCTTGTAAAGAGAAGAGTTAAGGAAATCAGTATGTTGGCTTTTACAGTCAACCAGGTAAAAATATTGATGATCTGAAATAGATCACTGTGGGAAACAAAGATGGTTTCATGAACCAATGTTATGATGGAGTTGACAGAACAGATTTGGGTAGTGAGGGAGACACAAAGATGATGCTGACATTTGCTTAAGTGAAAAAATGAAGGACGGCAATAGTGTTAATTGAGATTGGGATTTAGGAACAGAAGCAGGTCGAAGGTACTTGCAAATTCCTGTCTCTTCCCCCTTCAAAGCATCTTGCATATTACAGTTTTAAAATACATTTTTTTTATGACACTCCTCTGCATGTGACTAGCCTCATTCATTCATTCAGCAAACATTTGCTCATATCCTCTATGTCCCAGGCTTTGTGCTAAATACCAAAGAAACAAAAGGAAAGAACTAGTATAAGTTTTTGAATGGCTCATTTTAAACCGCCGATGTCTGTCAGTTTGCTGCACTGTGGTCTCTTGCATGTTGTGAAGCTACAAACAATGACGCAGGTATTTCAAATGCCAGCAGGATCATCGATGGTGTACAGGTTTCAGTAGAACTTCCAGACATCCAAGGGATAAGGAATAGGTTGTACACTTTGAGGGATTAGCCTCTAAAAATTTTACAAATAACAGTGAAACATTGTCTGATATATTTCAGGAAGGCAAGCCATTCAAGGTAGAAAGGCACTCAAAATGATACTGGTGACCCATACTTATAGATGTAGTAACTCAAAATACTGAGAGGGAAGGATCCTTCACATCAAGGATCAAACCTCTGTGTACAGGGTTGATAAGGATGGGCAACTTAGGCATCGGATAACTAAAATAGGAGGAGGAAGATTATAAAGGCATGAAGTGTCTCCCTTACAAGTTTTCAAGATGGAGTTTTGTTTCAGAGTGTGCAAGGGTAGGTAGGATCTCCACTGGATAATTTTCCTCTTGTCTAGATGGGTCTGGTGAAAGGAGATGGGGATAGGATTCATTGGACTCAACAGTGAGTAATTGTTATCATACCTAATTGCGATTGTCACAACAGTAAAGGTAGAAGTTGTGTAATAAAAGGGAGAGTATGTAGTTAATTGCCCATTCCAGAAACAAAGGACCACCAAGAGAGAAGAGCATGAGCTGAACATGGGACCATATCCAGAGAAGCAGCGACACCAGAGATGGAGGCAGAGATTGAGAGATGGAAAGATTGAGCAGCTGATGACTCTAGACTCATGGGAAGAGAAGGGCTGTGTGCTGGCAACCAGGAGGCTGGCTTCCAGAATGTGACCTTTGATTGTTTAAATGATTTTATATTCCTGTGAAGGTTTTTTTGTATATAAAAAAAAAGGAAAAGGGGGGAGGTTCTCTATAGAAGAAACAATCTGTGATGGTTTTGGTGGGAGAAGGAAATGATATATGCACTAGAAAGTAGGCACCTGTTGGCATGGGTGACGGGGCAGGCAATATACAACTAGAGGGAGGTTGGCAGAGGAAAGATGGGGGTGGTGGGAGGCACAAGGAGGAATGTGGTGGTTAAAGTGAATAGAAGTAAATGCTGTTAACTGTTAGTACATGGAGTGGATTGCAACCATGTAATGAAGCAATGTATATGATTTGTTGAATGTATAACTGATGATCTGCTCTGTAAACTTTCATTCAATACACAATAAAATGTTTTTCAAAAAATGTTACTGGGGAAGAGCTGCCTTGAGAGTGTAGAGTCATCCTTAATAATGTGGATGGAGTAAAGCTTTTGGGACCTTCCTTTGCTAATGAATCATGACTCAAAATGAGAAAAACCGCTACAAACAACCATTAATAATCAGAATGTGGAATGTACAAAGTATTAATTTAAGAAAATTGAAACCATAAAAAATGAAATGGAATGCATAAAGATCAAAGTCCTAGACATTAGTGAGGTGTAATGGACAGATACTGGCCGTTTTGAATCTGATATAGTTTACTATGTAAGGAATGGCAAATCA